TGACGTGATTCTGAATAAGATTTCCCTTTGCAGAAATGGGGTGCGAAGCTTCGTTTTTGAATTATTAAAGAAAAACGCGGACCAATCAGAGCGCGAGGATTGCGCATGCGCGGACGCGAGACAGCTGCGAGCCAAGCGGCTGCGCGCGCAACTCTCGCGCTCCGATAGATTCGTTTTTTCTTAATAATTCAAGAACGAAGCTTCAAATCCAATTTTTGCAAAGGGAAATTTTATTCAGAATCACATCAACTATCATTTTAGGGAACTACATTAATTGTGGGACGCCCTGTATATTAGTTATTGCAATTTCTTCTATCGTACTCTTTAAAGTTGTACTATCTACTCCATTTACAAAATAGATGAAGAAAGAGGTTCTCAGTCAAATGTACTGCAACAGATGTGACTAATTTTTCATTTATTATAAATAGTATGTATTATATATACTGCTATAAATAGTATAGTATTAAATTTACTATTATAAAGTATAAAAAGTAAAAGAAAATATATTCAGTCAATCTATTTATCTAAATTATTTATAAAATCCAAAAGAAATGTCCAACCACACTCTACAGTCGACAATGATTAAATTTAATATTATAAATTATAGTAAGAAATGATAGAAGATAAGAGATAAATTAATATTACAGGAAAACAAGGTAAAGATGGACCGGAAGAGAAGAAGGACGCCGATGGCGAGTTATGGGGCAACGTGGAAGCGCAGGCCGCCTTCCTCGGCCCAAATCTCTGGGACAAAACTCTGCCCTATGATGCCGACCTGAAGGTATTGAACCATGTATGTATAAAAACGCGATACGGTAAGCTCACAACCTGAACGTGGCTGAACGCGGATCCCGAAAAAAACGGGCATCCCAGGATGATACTTGAAAGTGTAATATTTCGTTGCGACTTCTTTTCCTTTCACTTTAGAAACGTAGAACGTATTCTTTATTTTTAAGAGAATTTATAAGTGTTTATTTTTAATAATGTACTGCTATTTTAGTAGTTTGTCTAGTTTCCTTCATTTTCGAATTCACTTTCCTGGTAATTTTATTCATGCATTCCGATGTCCTGAATAACAGAGTTATAAATTCCTAAGTTTGCAAATTTTGGTTTAGTAAATATTCTTAACCTATCCTAATTTCATGTAATTGACAAGTTGTTCAGTTTCAAGGTAGCTAAATTTTTAAATCCTAAGATCCTTTAATTTATAAATTTTTAAATACTCAAGTCTATTTTACAAATCTTTAGATGTTCAAATTCTTCCCAATCAGCAAATACAAAGGTGTTCAAAACAATGTCTGAAATTTCTGAATCCTCAAATCTTCCAATCTTCAAATTCTGAAAGTCACCAATCCTCAAATCCACAAATCTTCAAATTCTGACATTCTTCGATCCTCACATCCAGAGATCCTCATGTTCAAAGTTTGAAATTTTTGCATCCCCAAATCTCCAAATCTTCCAATCTTCAAATTATAACATTCTTCAAAGCTCACCATCCAGATATCTTCAAATCCAAATTCTGAAATCTCTGAAGTCTCAAATCTCCAAATCTTCCAATCTTCAAATTCTAACATTCCCCAATTTCCAAGTTCCCAAACCTCCAAATCTTCAAATTCCCAAATTCTGAAACTCCCAAATCTCCAAATCCTCAAGTCCCCAAATTCTGAAACTCCCAAATCTCCAAATCCTCAAATCCCCAAATTCTGAAACTCCCAACTCTCCAAATCCTCAAATACCCAGATACCTAAACCGCCAAATCCCCAAATTTCTAAATGATAATATGTAAAAACTTGTAAATCCTGCCAAATATTCTGACTGAGTTCTCTGATTGCAGTACGTGGATCTGGACGAGTTTCTGTCCGAGAACGGCATTCCTGTGGACGGTGTGGCTGGCGGTGGACAGGGTACGATGCCGAGTGGACAACTGCACAAGATGAACAATACCGAAACACCAGGGCACCAAGGGCCAGCTGGTCTTCATTTAGAACCGGTCACCAAACGCGAGAGATCACCCTCGCCGAGCGAGTGTTGCTCGCCTGACACCATGAACCCACCCTCACCTGCGGACTCCAGTAAGTCAAAACCTTATTAAACTTTATTCCATTCCATACTACTCCTTATTATAATCTTTTTTCTACTTCTTATTATTTTATACTTCTTATTAATCTTCTTTCTACTCATTATTTTCTACTTCTTATTAATCTTCTTTCTACCCCTTACCAATCTCTTACTTCACATCCTTCATATCCATATTTTTCCAAAAACACGTTCTTCTCTCTTCCTCTTATTGTAGTTTCATCTCATCCTTCATCCCTCACATCCATATTTTTCCAGAAGCCTAATGTCGTTTCTTCCTCTTACCTCTTACTAGTCCTCAAGCTCCGAAATGTTCAAATCCTCAAATGTCCAAATGTTCAAATCCTTGAATTCCCAAATGTTCAAATCCTCAAATCCCCTAATCTTCCAATTCTTAAATCTTCAAATCCCCAAACTTGCAAATTTCCAAATCCTCAAATCCCCGAATCCTCGAATCCCCAAATCTTCAAATTCTCAAATCCCCGAATCCTCAAATCCTGAAATCTTCAGATCCCCAAATTCTGAAATTCCCAAATCCTCAAATCTTCAAATTCCCAAAGCCTCAAATCGTCAAATCTCCAAATCCTCAAATCCCCAAATTCTGAAACTCCCAACTCTCCAAATCCTCAAATACCCAGATACCTAAACCGCCAAATCCCCAAATTTCTAAATGATAATATGTAAAAACTTGTAAATCCTGCCAAATATTCTGACTGAGTTCTCTGATTGCAGTACGTGGATCTGGACGAGTTTCTGTCCGAGAACGGCATTCCTGTGGACGGTGTGGCTGGCGGTGGACAGGGTACGATGCCGAGTGGACAACTGCACAAGATGAACAATACCGAAACACCAGGGCACCAAGGGCCAGCTGGTCTTCATTTAGAACCGGTCACCAAACGCGAGAGATCACCCTCGCCGAGCGAGTGTTGCTCGCCTGACACCATGAACCCACCCTCACCTGCGGACTCCAGTAAGTCAAAACCTTATTAAACTTTATTCCATTCCATACTACTCCTTATTATAATCTTTTTTCTACTTCTTATTATTTTATACTTCTTATTAATCTTCTTTCTACTCATTATTTTCTACTTCTTATTAATCTTCTTTCTACTCATTATTTTCTACTTCTTATTAATCTTCTTTCTACTCATTATTTTCTACTTCTTATTAATCTTCTTTCTACTCATTATTTTCTACTTCTTATTAATCTTCTTTCTACTCATTATTTTCTACTTCTTATTAATCTTCTTTCTACTCATTATTTTCTACTTCTTATTAATCTTCTTTCTACTCATTATTTTCTACTTCTTATTAATCTTCTTTCTACTCATTATTTTCTACTTCTTATTAATCTTCTTTCTACTCATTATTTTCTACTTCTTATTAATCTTCTTTCTACTCATTATTTTCTACTTCTTATTAATCTTCTTTCTACTCATTATTTTCTACTTCTTATTAATCTTCTTTCTACTCATTATTTTCTACTTCTTATTAATCTTCTTTCTACTCATTATTTTCTGCACCTTATTAATCTTCTTTCTACCCCTTACCAATCTCTTACTTCACATCCTTCATATCCATATTTTTCCAAAAACACGTTCTTCTCTCTTCCTCTTATTGTAGTTTCATCTCATCCTTCATCCCTCACATCCATATTTTTCCAGAAGCCTAATGTCGTTTCTTCCTCTTACCTCTTACTAGTCCTCAAGCTCCGAAATGTTCAAATCCTCAAATGTCCAAATGTTCAAATCCTTGAATTCCCAAATGTTCAAATCCTCAAATCCCCTAATCTTCCAATTCTTAAATCTTCAAATCCCCAAACTTGCAAATTTCCAAATCCTCAAATCCCCGAATCCTCGAATCCCCAAATCTTCAAATTCTCAAATCCCCGAATCCTCAAATCCTGAAATCTTCAGATCCCCAAATTCTGAAATTCCCAAATCCTCAAATCTTCAAATTCCCAAAGCCTCAAATCGTCAAATCTCCAAATCCTCAAATCCCCAAATTCCCAAACTTCTAAATCCTCAAATCCCCAAATTCCCAAACCTCCAACTCCTCAAACCCCCGAATTCCCAAACCTCCAAATCCTCAAATCCCCGAATTCCCAAATCTCCAAATCCTCAAATCCCCAAATCCTCAAACCTCCAAATCTTCAAATCCCCAAATTCCCAAACTTCTAAATCCACAAATCCCCAAATTGCCAAACCTCCAAATCCTCAAATCTCCAAATCATTAAATCCCCAAATCCTCAAATCCCCAAATTCCCAAACCTCCAACTCCTCAAATCCCTAAATTCCCAAACCCCCAAATTCTGAAACTCCCAAATCCCCAAATCCTCAAATCCTTGAACTCCCGAATCCCCAAACCTCAATTTCCAAATAACCTAAATTACACATTAAAAGCTTGCTTTGCAGATACAGTTACTTTCCCGGTGCACGAGCAACTTCTCAACGCGAAGTTAAAAATTCTTAAGGACCAATATCTATTCTTGCCCGGTTAAAAATAAAGAATAGCGTCAAACCGAAGACGTATTTAAAGTTTGAAAAATATGACCGGACAACAGGAAGATACGACAATCAAAGGAGCATATTTCAAGAATTATAGCATGATTTCTATGTTGCAGCGCTGTCGATGGCCTCATCGGGGCGAGATTTCGATCCGCGCACCCGGGCATTCTCCGACGAGGAGCTGAAACCCCAACCGATGATCAAGAAATCACGGAAGCAGGTCAGTTGATTTTCCTGCTTGTATTTCTTCTTTCTCTTACTTTTCATCTTTCTCAGAATTCTAGCAGAATTTGCGGAAATTTTGTTCATTTTTCGTGAGATGATGAGTATCGATTTTAAAAAAGTTAACTGCGGTTCTGTTTCCTCTCCGAGCTAATTTCTCTTTGTGTTTTTTTCTCTGTGGTCCATTGCTGGCTACAGTTCGTTCCGGATGACCTGAAGGATGACAAATACTGGGCGCGTCGTAGGAAGAACAACATGGCAGCGAAACGATCACGAGACGCACGTCGCATGAAGGAGAACCAGATCGCTCTCAGGGCCGGCTTCCTCGAGAAAGAAGTAAATCTTCCCACGCCTCTAAAATTAATGAACATGCGTTTTAACGAAATCCTAAACCCTTTTCAATCACATCAATCCTGTTACAGCTCATAAACTGCTCGTCTTCACCACACACCTGGACATTTTGATGAAATTCTGTAACTCACACATCCTCAAATGCTCAAATTTACACAGTATGATTTTAAGAAACAATTTTATACTTCTATTATATTTTATAATTCATTGTTTAACATGTACGTTGACGTATACACAAATTCTGAATGTAAACTAAAAGATTTATTGTAAGAGAAAAATGTTCTTGTAGATCATGAGAGCGCTACTGCCAGGGCGCGAAAATTTGAAATATCTAAGTTTATAAATGTTCAAACACTTTTACATAAGGTTATTAATGACTTGTATATAAATTCTGAATTTAAAGTAAAAGAGTTATTGTAAAAGAAAAATATTCTTGATCATTGATGCACAACAGTCAGAAGGCACGAAAATTAAAAATTGTTAAGTTTGTAAATGTTGAAAAGTTCTTCAGACATGTCTCAAATTTTTCGTTCTCCATTTTTCTACAATTTAACATCAGACCACTTTCACCAAATAAATTGTTAAAACGTGTGATGTCGCATGGACGATATAAAATTTCCAAAATGTTCGTCACACTAATAGTACCCTTTTTTCTGCAGAACATGGGCCTTCGACAGGAACTGGACCGGTTAAAGAACGAGAACATGCTGTTACGCGACAAGCTGAGCAAATACACGGACGTCTAACAGTGCGCCGAGCAAGCAACAACTCGTCGTGGTATTAAAAAAGATGCAGACACGAGCGTTTGTTGTGCCAGCTCCTCCCACACTTCATAGTCGCAGAGCACTTAGGTTTTCGCCAGTCCGGAAGAAAAGGAAACAGATGAAAAAAAGAGAAAAACGAAAAAAAAGTAACGGAAGAGGAAAAGAAGGCGCCGAATCGCGAGGAACATCCTCCACTAATTGAACAGCCCAGTTTTTTTTTCCTTGGAGGATCCTGAAGAGATATATCCTCCGTCCGTCGTTCTTCTTCTTTCTTCTTCGTCGCGCCACCGACGTTGATCCAACAATTTGACCCTCCTGCCTGCATCCTTTTCCCGTCTCGCCCATCTTCTCTCCGGAAAAGAAAAAGTGTACATAGTTATATGTATAGTTAGATTATATATGTATACATGCATACATACACGAGCGCGTGTATCTCTGTCTGTAAGTGTGAGTTTGTAAGGGCGCGCGCACCTGCGCGACCGCATGCACACGTGTATGTACAGAAGTACGCGTAATAAAGAGGTGTAACCGGTCGGGTATATCGTTCGCTGCTACGCATTATTTCAGAATATATGTATACACGTATATACACACACGTAATACGTATATATCTATATACATAGTCAGTCAGGCATACACGTATACACGCGGAACCGCGAACGTAGACGTGTGCGTTGCCAGGAACGAACGTGGTACCGATTGTTTCCCGCGAGACAACCCTTTTTCTCAGCCTCTTGTAACGAAACCGTTTATTGGGCTATCAGTTTGAATAAGTGCGTGAACGCCAAAATGTCTGACATTGATATTTACTCAAAAGTGTTATGTTCAATGTGCAACTGACAGCTACAAGAACAAATGATGCTTTTAAATGATATTTTTGTTTATTTTATAAATAAACTTAAATATAATACAGAAATTTTCCTAAGATTTTATATGTAAAAGAGTAGTAAGTTCAGTTTGATTCCCCAAGAATCATTTTTTGGATAAATTATCTTTCTTCATACTGATGGTGCAATTATGGTCGCGTTCGAAGAAACGAGGGAAAAATTGATACGAGAGTTTATCGTTACATAGTGCGTTTGGGATAAACGAGCAAGAATGTGGAACAAAAACAAGAGATCGCTTCGAATTACAAGCGCGACGAATTACAGCGCATTAAATTACGATAATATGGAATTACAATGCGTCGAAACTTGTCAAATTGATTTGCTTCATTCAAATTTTACTCAAAAAAATGATCGTTTATTCCAAACGCACCGTAAACAACTCTTCCGTGCTTTTCCCGTTTCCAAGAAGGAATATATCAAGTAGTCAATTAGAAAACCGTAGCGAACTCTGTCTCGAGCGTACCAAACGTGTCTGGCACTCGCACAGTCGTCTCGTGAACCGGGCTGGAGCTGATTAGAGTAATAAGCGAATAATGTACGAACATGTAAGCACAGACAGGTTGAAAAAAATGGCCGCGAGCGCTCCTGAAGCGGCCGCCTAGCCACGCGCTAGTTTCTCGAGCTTCTAATTTGGTTATTGTACAACGCGAACTCCATATCTGATCATGGATGAACTTTTGGTCTAACTTTTTTTCTCTTGTTGCACTCTCTGCCTCTCTCTCTTCTGCCAGTCTAATCATGTTCACTAGGAATCTCTAAGAGGTTCCTGGACAATGTGATTCATCGTGCACGGTAACTGTTAGGTTATTAAGAGTAAAACTTGCAAAATATTTGAATATAAACTTCAGCATTGATTATCTCACATTTGGCACCAAATTTGAAAGACGAACGTGCGTAGTTAAATAGAAATAATTTTTATTCTCTCCAAGAAGAATGGAAAGCTAAAGTTCTTAGAAGTTTCATTCTTAACGACCTAACAAAGTTCTTGCACTTTAGTTTAACGATCTCACGGGTTACCCTTTGTTCGTTAAACGAGAATCGACGAAATTGAATACGAGTGAGAAACTGGAGGAGGTCGAGGGAGGTGAGAGGGTTGAAATCGACGAATTATCGAAGAACGAAATTACAAGCGAAAGATACTTGGGAGAACGACGCTTTTCTGCGCACCGACTAGGTACCTAGTTCTCTAAGAAATGTTAATTACCGTAGCGTATCCCACAAGTGGTGATGGTACACAAGTGATTCTAGTTGTTTTTATCGTAAGGTAGATCATGTGCTTCTTTTTTCATACATAATGTTTTATCTTTCTTTTATCGTTCGTTCAATTTTCGCTTGAAGCAAGCGGAGTGCGGGGAAAGCGTCGCGACGCGTCCCTTTATTATCGATTCGTCGCGCTTCAATGGTCGATGGCACGTCCGACAATGAATTTTTATCAACTTTTTTTGTAAATACTTTAAGGAAGACCCGTACTAATAATTAGTTGCCCTCGCCGACTCAACGTATCATCGCATTGATCATTGTAATTCGTAGAGCGATTTTAGAAAGATCGTGATATAGAGGTTCAGTTGATGAAAAAATACATTTTATCAGAAAGAGAAGCAAACGATACTGTCAGCTCTGTTGTTAATCGACGCCACGGCAAGAGATGATCACACGATCAAATTGCGAGAATTGTGCACCAAGAGGGGGCTCGTACTTAGGGTGCGTTTTGACCAAGTGAATGCTTGTTCTTTCATCACTTCGGTGACATTCGAATGTAATTAACAAATATTGAACTTTCCCAAAATTGGGGAAGAACGAGTTTTTGCAGAGATGCGGAATTGTGCACTTATGAGTGGTCAGTCTCTCAATTTTAATTTCTAAATCAGTAATTCTCTAAGACTAAATTTTCAAATTCTCCAACTGTTAAATTTGTAATTTCAAATCTGCTGAAATCTTCGACTACGTCTGTCACTTGGTTCGAACGCATCCTTAAACGAATATAACACGTATTCTCTGTAGCTTTTCCTCTTGTCACACGAATTCAAACGAGAAAGAGAAGTAAAGAATAATAACGAGCGAAACTCACTCGTGCGCCTTTCATGGATAATACGCGCGATTAATATTTTACATACTGTTGATGCGTTTAATAAGCGATTCTGCTCGTTGCAACGCTCAATGACAATAATCGAGTATAATTATATATACATATATGTTTTTTAGCACTTTTTGCGGCGTAAAAACGACATTAAGAGTATGTTCCCGGTAGAAAATGAAGTCTTTTACGATACGCTTGTTATCGATTGTTTACACAATTGATTATTGTTTTATCATTTCGATCAGTTCCCTGATCCCCTCCCCTGACATTACGAATTCTCGAAGAGCTTATTAAATATTATATTATATGTCATATATAGATATATGATACGTTATGTCATACACATATATACACGTACATGTATATTTGTAAGTGTACGCAAAGAAATTAATTTTTATAGAAGGCCTTGTCAATGACAGATTCGCTTTTAACAATTTTTATATGAACGTCGTTTTAGTTGAAGTATCGTCTCGTTAAAGATAATTGAAACTTCGCGTTTTATTCTTATCAAACGTGGCTGTAGATTTTTTCCTTTATTTTTTGTGATCATGCGTCGAACTCTGTGAACACTTTGAGTACCATGTTATCCATATCACGATATATAAATTTTTACATTCTATTATTTTTATATTCTCTTATATTGTAAATTATAAATACATTTTGTTAAGCATGATTGGTTATGAATGTATTACTAATTATGATTTTGTTAACTGTGGTTGTCCAAAAAGATGTGGCTAAGTGGACACTACTGAGTTTGTTGAAAATGAAATTGCCAATTGAAGAAGATCTTCCCTAATGTTAGAGTGGTACTCAAAGTGTTAACGCATTGACTGCCACGTTGCCCATACATCCTACTTGAATTTCTATATTTTCTTATCTAATTAATTGTTAACATTACTCGTTGAAAAATAGAATTCTGATGAAATTTTCAACCTCGGCGTGGTGGTCAACGTGTTAAGAACAAATATGTATATGTACTTTATGATTGTAAATTTTAATCCATGTAATTAATCTCATGTCGACATTATGGAAATCGTTTTACGCATTGTTATCGTATACATATATTTTCTTTTTTTTTCTTCAAGATTTTACGTATGTTGTATAATTTGAAGTTTTCATTTTTTATTAGTTAGATAGTATTAAGCGAACGGATCTCGTGTCGCCAGTAAAATGATAGAAATTGATTTTCTTCTGTTTCACTTTTGTGATTTAATTTTCAACGAAGCGACTTGAGAATTCGTTCGAATCGTACACCCCCTTTGATTGATCACAAATGAAAGACAAAGAAAGTCATTGTTATTGTAATGTACGTAATCAAAAATCAAACATGTCTGACGTAACCTCGTTGTTAGCTCCACTTTGTCGTTAACCTTGCTACTCGGATCTTTTTCGATCCACTGTAATTTTGTACCTTTAAAAATTTTTGCTACTTTCGAGAAAATATAATGAAATTATTCTCAATATGTTTTGTTTCTTTTAACATTGTATTATAAGTTTATATATGTGGTCTCGTATCAAATGTTGTTATAAATAAGGTCTTTGTAAAGGTACTTAAATATAGTTGAGTGAAAACAGTAGCAAGGGTTAAATACAGCTTATTGCGAGGGACACGCGTGAGAAACATGACAAAGCAAGGCGATTGACGAAGAGAACACAGTGCAACAAACATCATGCCACATCGACGTATTCATTGTACAACGCGATGATTGCCACAAGTAGAATTTCTCAAAGTTTATTTTAGTCTGTTCATTACTAAAAATGTTAACATGCCATTTCATTTTCTTTTTATAATGCAATGGTAATGTACTGTAATTTGAATTGTACAATTCTTAATTATGCAATTAAGTACTCTTGTGGCAGTCAATGTGTTAATTTATATGCGACATGACGTATGCTTTGGTATGTAGTGAATGTTAATTGTCGAATGGTGGATGTTGGGATAGCAAAGACCCAGACATACAGAAATGGGTGTACGCTTTGGGTCAAATTATTTAGTCAAACTTTTTAATGCAAGACAATGAGAGTTTAATTGGAATGTCAGGTGGCTATATTTCTGCTTGAAATAATTTTAAAAATCTCAGCTTCTTAAATTGTCAAATCTCCAAATTTCTAAATTGCAAATCAGCAAGATCCACCATCTGAGGATTAAACATAAACTACTGTATCAAAGACTTATAGAGACCTCAGACCATCATGCATATTGCCAATATTTCAAGATTTTCAATATTTATTGACAACACATATTGACAATGTATATTGATAATCAAATATGGATAATATGATAATTTGAGATCTGCGTCCTGTCCAAAATTAGACGAACAAATGTTTCTCCATACACAAACATATACACCCTCCTGGGCGTATAAAGATTTTTTGGTAAATAGAATAAGATAAACCTCACCAAATTTCATGATTATAATATATATTGTAAAGGTCAGTCCTAAGTAATTTTGCCTAGAAACATAATTGTACAAATTAGAATACCATTAACTCTAATTTATTAATTTATAAGTAACTAGAATTACAATACTTCAATTTTTAAGGCATGCTAAATTGTCAGTGGTATTCTAATTTGTATACATACATGTGGAATGCTTCAGAAAATATGGATGACTGAAATATTTTTGTCATTCTTATTTTTTGAAGTTAACACGTTACCAAATAAATCACAGTATGTATTGCATGATTGAATTCGATGAGGTTTGTCTTATGAATCTTTTATATCTCTGCTGTAACAATAGTGTACCATAGAGAAATTGCGAAAGCTGATATTTCTTTTTCTTTTTCTGTAATTATATTCGATCGCTACGCTGACAGTCGTGCGTGAAAACCGAAAACATCGATTCACGTTTCTCGAATATTTGTAAGTATCTCTAGTACAAGTTGCTGATCAATTAAACATGTAGCGTACTAAGCGGCCGGTCTTCGGAACACGGCACAGTTAAAAAACGAAACGAGAAGCGGAATAGCATGTTTTCAAATAAAAAAAGAACACGCAAAGTACACGCGCACGAGCGTGCGCGCGTGCATACACGCAGTTCGTGGATATAGTAAACAATTGTAAAGAAAATCGTAGAAAAAAGAAGAAAAGAAAGAAATATAGAGAAACACAAGGTAGACGCAACCGACAGCTTTGCTCCGAAATTAGAATTTAACCACGAATGACGAAACGAGAAGTTTGAAATGAATGTAAAAAAATGATAGTTAACTGGATAACTGTGGAAAGAGTTTAAACGATGAGACACGCCATCCGATCCATTTGAAACGAAAACAGTACACGTGAGAATTAAATACGACCACCAAAACGTCAAAATGTATCACATTTCGAGAAATATATGTATTTGTTATTGTTTTCACTGAATTATATTGTTGTACCTCGACCCCCCTGTCTTAGATATTGTAACAAAATTTAGGATATTAGAAAATTTAGAATTTGGGATTTGGGAATTGAAAATTTAATAACTAGCTTAGGGTACATGGTAAGGAATACTTTGTAAACACTATTTCTATTTGTTTAAAAGAATTGTGTAGTTTATTAATTACATGGGACTTTAATTTTTGTTACAGATGTATCACTTTGCAACAAAAAGGAGTTATTATTTGGATAACAGGGAAACAGAACAGGATTTGAAGAGAATATGCTTAATAATATATATTTGTAAATTAAAATTGTAAAAAGCGACTTAGATACTAAGAAAAAATCAAATTCTATTGTTAATAAATTTATATTATATATTTATAAGACAAACTTGTAAAATACTGCCTGTGTTATGAAAAGTTTATATTATATTATCATGTTGTGTACATATGTATATTGTTACATTCAATATTTATAATTTGTACACCTGAAAAAAGTCTCAATAAATATTATTAAATAAAAGGAAACATTCATCTTTTTCTTTGAAAACCTTTCTAAATTCTAAAAACCTTTTCCTTCCATACATCTATAATTTTAAGGAACTCGCTTCACGAAAAATTAGCATAAGAATTGGGGTATAGTGGGTGCCTTAAGCGCCTCTGAATTCGGTTCTGAAATCTCCTCCTGGTAATAGGATAGTAGGGTGTGCGAAGAGGTGGCCCGAAAAAATGGAGTCTGTACCGCCTACTTTTATTAGATTTTCGGGCTACCAGGAGCCCAGAGGTATCAGGATAGTAGGATGGGCAAGGAGGTGGCACGAATCTATAGCATGCGCAGAACTATGCGCAGTAGACCATGCGCCGAATGCATTGCGCAATGAATGGAAAGGTGGTAGGGGAACCGCTGGGTCCAAAAATCTACTCCTGGTAGCAGGATCACAGAATATGCAAGGAGGTGGCACGATATGACTTGCGCAGAACAATGCGCAGTGTGACCTGCGCAGAACTATGCGCAGGAAACATTCATCTTTTTCTTTGAAAACCTTTCTAAATTCTAAAAACCTTTTCCTTCCATACATCTATAATTTTAAGGAACTCGCTTCACGAAAAATTAGCATAAGAATTGGGGTATAGTGGGTGCCTTAAGCGCCTCTGAATTCGGTTCTGAAATCTCCTCCTGGTAATAGGATAGTAGGGTGTGCGAAGAGGTGGCCCGAAAAAATGGAGTCTGTACCGCCTACTTTTATTAGATTTTCGGGCTACCAGGAGCCCAGAGGTATCAGGATAGTAGGATGGGCAAGGAGGTGGCACGAATCTATAGCATGCGCAGAACTATGCGCAGTAGACCATGCGCCGAATGCATTGCGCAATGAATGGAAAGGTGGTAGGGGAACCGCTGGGTCCAAAAATCTACTCCTGGTAGCAGGATCACAGAATGTGCAAGGAGGTGGCACGATGACCTGCGCAGAACCATGCGCAGTGTGACCTGCGCAGAACTATGCGCAGTACAATCTGCGCAGAACTATGCGCAGTACAATCTGCGCGAGGTGTATTGCGCAATGAATGAGAAGGTGGTAGGGGAACCGCTGGGTCCAAAAATCTACTCCTGGTAGCAGGATCACAGAATATGCAAGGAGGTGGCACGATATGACTTGCGCAGAACAATGCGCAGTGTGACCTGCGCAGAACTATGCGCAATGAATAAGTGACGTAATGGAAGAACCAATAGCTTCGATAATACCTCCTGGTATCAGGATAACAGAATGTGCAAGGAGGTATCCCACTAAAAGAGCTATTTTCCCGCCCAAATGACCGAATTGCATACCATCAGAAATAATAATTAATACCGCCCTAATGTAATCAAAAAGTGAACTTTTATGATTTATTTTTAAAGAATGAGATCTGTAGAATTTTTTTATGCCATTTTGGTGCATATTTTAATTGTAATTAATTAGTTATTAATTATTAATGTTAGGCAATAGGGTATCGACATCCTTGTTAGGCAGAATTTTTTAATTAATTTTGTAAAATATAGAAATAATTTATGACTTTTTGTGATTGAATCATGAAGAGGAAGGTTCAAACTTTATTTTCCGATCGATTTTATTAATATTTAATCATTTATGTTTAAGAGAAAAATTATTGTTTCATTAGGCTATTGAAGTCAGACGCCATTGGCGCCATGTTTGTTTGACATCGTCAAGTATGATTACATTTGCTCAAAATGCTCCTCGGGTAACAGGATAACAGAATATCAAAAGAGGTGGCACGATAGATAACATGGTGGCAAAACCGACAGGTCCGCTGGTACCTCCTGGTATTAGGATAACAGAATATGAAAGGAGGTTAACTGCCAAAACTGCTCTCCCGCCATATATACAAAAAGTACATACTAAGTGCAATCTAATTATAAGGAAAGTAGGTCAGGTTTGAGAATAAATACTCTGGCTAATTTTATTAAACATTCATTTATTATCCTATTTATTATTGCAAAAGTCTTGACAATGTTTCATTGATCTTAACCTATTTTTTCCTAAAGCAATTAACAATAGAACTAATGTTACAATAATTACATTGAAACTCGATGTATCTTAATAATAAAGTAAACAATGAACAAATATTTAATATTATTTTAAATTACAGGATGCAGTAGCTATAATACCGATATTGAAAACTGTAGGTAACGCCATCTAAGCAACGACATTAAAAAATATTCGTAGCGGTGCTGTAATGGGGAAATGTATACCTTTTGATGGATTTGGATCTCGATATTTGTTATGGCTAGTCAACGAACAAATGTAACAGAATTCTTATATAATATAATTTTAACAATTGCATTTATGTGGTGATCATATTCTTCGTTGTTTTGACCAGCTGATGCGTACTCGTAAAAGTGGGCGTATTTATCCACGTACCTTATGAAGAGGATATCTGCGTGTGACGAGGAATGTAGCGTTTTAACTGGGAGTAACCTGCAAAGCAGCAAGTTTTTTAACGTATGTCAAATAAAATGTTAAGGTTTCTATCACGACGACGGGGTCGTAGTGTCAGTGGACAAACTACGTCATCCCAAATTAAAAATCAGAGATTGCTCAGCAATAAAAATGTTGTTCAGTGCAGAGTTGTTTTGCTCGATGGCACAGATTTGCCCATAGAGCTGTCAGTAAGTACAACAGTTTATCAAATGTCAGTTCTTAAGTGTTACCATTCATAGTAAACAGATTTACTTATATTTTGTATGCTTTTATGTTATAGAAAAAGGCATTAGCCAGCGATTTATATGAACAAGTATTTTATAGCTTAGATTTAATAGAAAAGGATTATTTTGGTCTGCAGTATACAGACAGCAATAATGTTCAACATTGGTTGGATCCAACCAAGCCTATAAAGAAACAAGTAAAAAGTATGCTTATCAAATTTTTGTTTATATGCTCCTATAAAGTGTAACTGTTTATTAATTAATGAATGAAATTCTGTATAGTTGGTCCACCATATACCTTACGTCTTAAGGTAAAGTTTTATTCGTCAGAGCCTAATACATTACGTGAAGAATTAACAAGGTATCAGTTCTTCTTGCAACTGAAACAAGATGTTTTGGATGGAAAACTTCACTGCCCTCATCAGGTTGCTGTACAGTTAGCTGCTTTAGCTCTACAATGTAAGCAGTTTGTACCTACAATAAATATTATAAAAAATATATAACTTGTAATAAATATGTAATTATATTATTACATATTTTCAGCTGAACTTGGAGATTATGATCCTGCCATTCACAGTGCAGCTACAGTATCTGAATTTAGATTTGTACCAGGTCAAACAGAGCAAATGGAGCTTGAAATACTTGAAGAATATGCCAAATGTTCAGGTCTTAGTCCAGCACAAGCTGAATCAACTTATCTCAGTAAAGCTAAATGGCTGGACATGTACGGTGTGGATATGCACACTGTACTTGGGAAGGATGCATGCGAATATTCTCTAGGATTAACTCCAACTGGAATCTTAGTTTTTGAAGGAACACAAAAGATAGGTTTATTTTTCTGGCCCAAGATTGGTCGTCTAGATTTTAAAAAGAAAAAATTAACATTGGTTGTAGTAGAAGAAGATGATGAAGGTAGAGGAGAACAAGAACATACGTTTGTATTCAGATTGGTAAATGAAAAGGCTTGTAAACATTTATGGAAGTGTGCTGTAGAACATCATGCATTCTTTCGATTGCGTGCTCCCGTCAAAGGTGCTAGCGGACGTCAGAACTTCTTCAGGATGGGTTCACGTTTTCGTTACAGCGGAAAAACTGAATTTCAAACTACTCAATTGAACCGAGCTCGTAGAACTGTGCAATTTGAGAGACGTCCAAGTCAGAGATACGCTCGTCGACAGAGTCATGTCTTGAGGGAACGTCAACGACAACAAACTGAGCAACCACCACCACCGCAGCAGCCTGCACCGCCTGCTGGTAAATATATAATTTTATTCACAAGTTCACACACTAGTTATAACAAAAATATTATCACTTTTAGCCGAAGAGGAACCTTTGCAACGTCAGTCGAGTCAATGCAGTACAAAGTCATCAGATTCCAGTGTACATGCTACATCTTCACCTTTGGTGGATTCTCTGTTAAAATCACTTGCCAAAGATCAACAACCTTTGGAGCCTAGAAATCAAACGACAGTGGCTGCCACTGAAAAAGAATCTGAACCAGTAAAGACTAGTTTGATCATTGAAAATATGACTAATCAAACATCACTAGTGCCAAATAATCAAGTTGGTGGTACCTCTTCACTGCCACCTCGTACACCTATTCCTCCAGAATCACTGAAATGCAATATCTTGAAAGCAAAGTCTCTTGAGCAAGGCAAGAACTCTAACTTGGTTTCAATTACCTCTACGGATCCATCAACAGTCGTTACTAAAAATAATCAGCATACTGATGCAGCAACAATTGTATCTGTGGTAAGAAAATAATATTTGAATAATCAATATCAATAATTCAAATCCATTGAAGTAGAAAGTTGTTTTGTCATTTTTGTTATGTCATATACACATCATTTAATGAAACTTTGCCTTATCATTGTATTTGTACGTATTAAAAATATTGTGTTGCGTTTTTGAGCTTCTAGGCTTGAGTTGTAATTTGTTTGCTTTTTTGCATTGTCCACTATTTAGGGAGGAGATAAACTGACACTTTCTGTAAGCGGAGCTACGGTGATGAATCCATCTGCAGAGGATAATGTGACAGTAACGCATTTCTCTTTAGACAGTTGGGGACAGATTGAACAAAAAACCACACAGTTAAATCCTAAAGTTTCGAATCAGTCTCAGAATCCATTTAATCCGTTCACTAACGATAACAGCAACGAAATTATTACTAGTACTACCGAAAGTGTAGAAGAAGATACAAAAACGGAAGAAGAAAAGAAAGCGAATACGAATCCGTTTATAGATTCGAATCCGTTTTTGGGGCTGCTCAACCCCTTCAAAGAAGTACAGCCTACTACTGAAAAGAAAACTGAAGAAACAGAAAAGAATGGAGCAAGAGTTGTGAAAACTGAAGAAATACAAACAACTACTACAACTCTTACTCATAAGGTGTGGTTTATTCTTCATGCTTATTAGCTATTGCAATATAAATTGTTCATGTAACTTGTACACAATGCTTTTGTTGAGTTTGTGTAAATTGTATGTACACATGCTTAATCTTTAACGTATGTAATGTATTTTTCTAAGCTGACATTTCATACCAACTTTACAATATGTATAACTGACTTGTGATTTATATAATACATATTTTGTATGTTTTAGGATGACAATACAGCAGTTTCTGATATCAGTCCTTGGTTAGTTGCTGATCCATCACAAAACACAACGATAGATCAAACTCCAATTAAACATACTGTAATTACGAGGAAGACAGTAATCACGACTCAGCTTTAAAATGATTATTTATGAAACAACGATATAAAGGTGAATAATGCTTCTGAAAAATATCGAGGAATGTGGTAAATCTCGTCTTCCGTAAGCTACTTAAGTGCCTACAAAATTGCATTGCCTCATAAGACCGGACAATACAGTTTAAAATAATTTTACATTTTCAAGGGGCCAATTAAGCATTTATACTTCTTAAATTTTAAAGACTTTTGATATAAAATAATTTCATTCTGTGAGTTTTATGACGAGATTATGTGCTCGGAACAACTTTTATAAAATCGTATACTTAATATTATATAGTAACGACGTAAGTACTCTTAAACGTTGTAAAAGTAATATGTACTTCAAAGTGCTATTTTTTCATTTATTTTATTACAACATTCCTTCGAACTCGGTAATTATGCAGAAATATTATTTCATATATATGCATTTTTAATGTTATTCTGCCATGTCATTCAATTGTGTTCTGCATTTATTGTTAAGTAGGATAGGTAACTTTTACAAAGAGAGAAATGTCTTTGCACCTTGTCAGTATGGATCAGAACATACGAAGTAAAAAGATTGGTGCTTTCAAAAATTAAAACATGGAATTATGTTTACAATACGCGCTTGATTGTATATTTATGCATAATTGAACAAACTTTACATGTTACTTAGAATTCGCAATTGAAAGTATGTAAAATCTCTAAGATAGTATTTCCTACTTGCCATAGTGCCTTTGATAATACATTAAAAAAGGCTATTCAAGTTTATATTCATTCCTATTGATTAAGTTTTTAAGTACTATAAAATCGTTTTATTGTTGAAAATATCTTTAGCCACAGAAGTATGTACATTATGATTGATATAGTACAATTAGTTCATAAAAATGATCTATTATTCTCATTTATTTTAATGAAAAGTTAGAAAGAAGCAGTGATACATTTTCATGTGGAAAAAATTGAAAATTTGTAAACTTATTTGTATTTATATTGTATGCTTTACTATATCATGCAGCTTTGTATCACTGAAATATTTTCTTCCTTGTAATTTTTATTGTTTCTGTAGTTGTGATGTTTTGTAATTGACATATCAGTATTTTATAAAAATTATTTTTTGACATAAGTAATACAATAAACTAAAGAAGACGATTGTAAGAATAAGCTTAAGGAATTGTCTTAGAAAAAATATATTTGTTTCTCATGTTCATTGTGTAAATTTGAAACATTCTCTAAACTTTGTAGATCTGATATGTAGTTTATTGTATTACTAAATTTGTTATTTGTAATTTATTTAAAAGACAGCTGAACAAAATATGTTTAACAAATCATGAAAAGTAAAAGTAAGACCTGCCTGAATGAATTATATACAAAAAGGCTGTTGAAGTACTTATTGTATTCCATATATGAGCATTTATGAAAGTAGTTTGACATTTTATGTATTTAAATATATTATATTTAATAGTAATAAGCAAAGTACATATAACACTATTATTTGAAAACCTAATATATGTATTACCTGTGTTTACAATCTAATATTAACTAATACCCTAATGTATTCCGTCCTAAAGTATTATATATACACACTGTTATATATATAGATATATATAATTTTTGCTTTATAATAAAAAAGTACTTTAAAATTCTGTAGATCTTTTTGACTTCTCCATCCTTCTGCATATTTTATAAAATAGGCATTGAATCACTCACAGTAAAATTAAAATGATAGGACCTTTTCTGCTTATCATATCTAATAATAACTCGTTAACATTACAAACGTTTTCAAAGTTTATTTGTTAAGAAAGATTAAAGTACCAATATAAGTTACTAATATTCATTTTAAATTAATAAAAAAGTTGGCAGTAAAATTAAGTATTCATATAATTAAAAATAAAATATAAATATTTTCAATAATGTTTCAAACGATCTTATATATTGGTAACTAATTATTAACTTCCTTGTTCAAACTAATGTATAATATTAAAGACAGTACAAAGAATTTTATCTTACTGATACGAGTGCTTGTAGACAAAATACGTTATCTCTCGTACCAGTCACCTTATAAATCAGTAATATTTGTTTATTTTATTTATCTGACAAGTCGTACCTATCGTTTAAAATCAACAATAGTCTATATCAAACAAACGATGAGCATTTGTTTGTTAAAAATTTATCTGTTCAAAGCATTGCATTACGAGCTACATCCATCAACAGACACAAATCAATCAAGCATCATGAAAACGTTTACAATAAAATTTAAAAAATACAGATATCTTCTGTCTCTGTACCAGTCTTTTCATAAAGAACTGACATTCACATTGTTAAATACACTAAAATTATAAAGGAATGTTATTTGTCAATGAATCACTAAGACCGTACACATATTCTTCCTAAAATTTAAACTCTACCATATCTGCGCACACGTTGCATGAAATGTGTGCTGTTTCTCATATTATTTAAAAGTAGAGTTTACTCTTTGTGATGTGTGAACACTTGTAAACATTTTATCTAAAAAGTTCGACATAATCTAGTTATTATTTACAAAGTAGAATCCTCAACTGCAGTATAATAGTATCTACCTTCGAAAATATATCACAAATCTTGTTTTAAGTACATCTGACTTAACGTTTTATCATTGACGCAGCATATATGTATATTAGCCATAGAGTATAATACAAGGTGATTGATCTAAGTGTGACAATTATTTATGAACTGTTTGTTGTAACTTTTGTTATCAAATTGCAAAGGTCATAAATATTTAAATATTACTTTGGTTTGAATTCTCTCATGCAACAAACAATTAACAAATAATTTAAGTGGCATGCTTAGGTGAATCAGCCGAGCTGACGATTGTGTAATAGAAGATATCATACAGGTGTCTCAGGATTGTCCCATTCTTCAGCATCTTGTCGCGATAAGAATCGTACCTGGGACGACTCCCTCACCATCAAGCTAACAGTATCAGAATAATCAACGACGTCAACGCATCTCTCCCCGTCTCGCGGCAAGCTTTTATTCGAAGATATCGAGCTACTGTTTTCTTCGCTACAGTCGTGTTTGAACACGCTATCAGACTGCGAATGAGTTGGGGTAGATAATTCAGAAACTAATGGCGTAGATTCATCCTCGCTCTCTCCCGGTGCAGGTGACACAGGTAACGTGCCCATTAAACGGTCTTTTAATTTCGTTAACTTCTCCAGGCTAGAATTTGGAACAGGAACTGGCAGGGCCACCTCGTCGTTCAACGTAGAGGCGGAACGTCGTTTCTTCATCGGTGTTGAAATGGTAGACTTCATGGGTATATTATTAGCTACATAATTCTCGTCTGTTGACTTAGATCTAAAGGCAGGTCTAGGAGAAGGCGGTGGAGATACAAAGAGAGATGCTGGTCTACTACTGTTCAAATTGCCTCCGCCTTTTCTTATGTCTTTACGTCCAAACGAACAGGCTGATCTAGTACTGTGCTGAGATGTAATGCTACGTTGTGAATTTGTACGCTGAAGATGAACTGTGGACTCGAACGAACTATCGTCTGAGGTTTCGATTTCATCGGTAACTGGTACCCAGTGTAGAAGTGGATTAGGCTGAAGAATCACGTAATCTGTGTCTTGAGGAGCCGCTGAGACTGATCCTAAAACAAAGCTCTATGTTACGCGCTTTTCTGTTTCTAATTGTTAAAAAGTAAGTCGATTAAAATACGTTGAATAATGTAAAAAAGGATTCTTAACTGAATTGTGGTTGATAATTAGAATACTTTTATTTTTCATTTTGTCTCTGATTCATCATTGATGTTATTAAATTCTATTTTTTGGATAAAGATATAAAATGAAAGCATACAGAAGCTTATAGATCTAGTCTAAGAAAGATAATATCATTTCATATTTCCAATAAAGTTTTATTGCCATTTGCTTTTATAATATAATTGTCTAATAACCTAATTAGAATAACTGTACACACAGTACAAAAAGAAAAATACATGAAGATGAAAATATAATCGTAGTTTTTTCACTTTGGTATATAAAACTTTTCCCTTTTAATGTAAAAGCTTATCTTTCTAAATGTACAAGATCTATCAGCATAAACATCCCAGAAAGAAATATATTCATTTAACATTCAATGATAGTAACACGTAGTTATCACAGTCTGTTTTACAAATATTAATTATGAAAAAATACTCTTAAGTATTAGGTAATTGTAACTAATCATACAATGACCAATTAAATAACAACATTCAAATGATTCCAAAGACGTACAAGAAGGGTACGAATGTTTTGTATAGTTTTAAAAATACAACACGACATACAATGTTCGCAAGTAATACCATTAATATATTAAACTACTACATGAAAATGATATTTCTTTATTATAACAACGCACACATTCAAGTCACTGTCGCCATAACGTTGTTCGTTATACGGATGACACATTTCTTTTTATTTAACATATGTCATTCATTTTATATCCTTTTATCTATACAATAATCCAGTCTATCATAACGCATTGGCACATTTTCAGAAAATAGAGGCAAGATTCAGAAGGAAATTCCTTCCACCTCTTTGATGTGTATTGTACTTAAAATATACGTATATAACAAATTTTTATTGACTGTTTTCTTTTAATATATGATTACACCTATGTTCGATAATACTGTTACAAATGTACCTACGTATTGACGTATGTATATATATTAAGAGACATTAAAACATCAGACACATTGACCAGATTTCCCTGAAAAACTGCTAATGATGAGATTATAGAATCATCTTCAAATGCGATGATTTGTAGTAGTACACATGACATATAATTAAATGATGCAGTTGCCTTCGATTTTAACAGGTTCATTAAAGACTTGTATTGTACTCAATTACGATGTCACGTTTTTGGTCTGGCTGCGGTGGTTCTTGAACTATTACCAGAGGCAGTGAAAGTGGTAGGGAAGAGGGCTCACCTGAAAGTGAGTCTGATGGTACTACGGTAGAAGATGGTACATCTAACACATCTTCACAAGCTTCTTCATTTAACGTTTGCAATGCTCCACAAATCATCTGTTCCTCCAATGTTACCTAAAAATTAAATTTACCTTTGTTTCTGGTCGTATGAAATACCTTATGTTGCTTGCAAATATTTTACTATTCAAATTTTAATAAGCAAAAGTAAGTTTGGTTCAGCTTACCTGAAACTAAAATCACAGGCAAGCGTAATGAAAACAATATTTTATTAATCAGTTAATCGTTAGATTATAAACACAAACATTATTCGGGTATCACTCGAAAGACACTTACTTGCTTTTCCATGATGGATTGTTTCGTTTGATCTCGTCTTGAAGTACCATCGGTCCTTGAATTTCCTTTTTCTTTTTCTGTATGAACAGGTACGCGTATCGAAGTTCCTTGCAAAGCATGATCTGTAATAACGTATAGTGTGATTACAATGTAATAATAATTTGATAGATATAATAAATTTATACATATACCTTTGCGCTGAATTTGTTCTGAACCTACAGTGAATCGCACACTTCGAGAACCTTCTTCATGTGTACTGAAGGAAGAAAGTTCTAATTCCCTAAGCGACACAAGTACCATACGAAACAGTTCCCAATCTCCAAATGCCATTTTTAATACCTATGTGATGAACGATTCTTTAATATACATTGTAAGATTTATTGTTTAAAAACAAGGAAATAAAACTCACTTTCTTCAACTCCTGTAAATCACAATGTAATAGAACTCTTCCATTAATGTTATTCTCTTGAATAACTTGTTTGTACTGCGGTGCATGACTCGAACTCAAGCTTTCAATCCTATCGATAAGATCACAAACACCGTTCACTGTTAAAGTCGACAGCCTTGTTTCCAAAATTTCGGACTAAAAGATAAAGAAAATAATATAGCATACAGCAGAAGAGAACACTAGCATGCTGAATATTATACGTACCGGTAAAGTTGTAGTAGCAGAAAGAGGTTTGATTTTAGGTTCCATGGGAGGTATTTGCACCCAAGGAGAACCTTGCCAATCCAATGATGGTTGAACAAACCAGGATGGTGTTGACGGTACCGGTGGCACAGGTCCTTGTAAACTAGGTGTTCTAACAAACTTCATTCTATTTGTTAATCCACTCTTATTCATTTGATCGTGGCCATTACCATGTACTGTCCAAGGACTGTACTGCTTATATTGTCCAAAACCTACTTCCTCTTCCATACTCTGTTGTTCCTCTTTAATCTTTTTCTTAATATACGGATCAAGATTGATCGTAAACGGTAAGAATATTTTCATATCGCTGACGAGTAAGCTGGATCGATGAAACGTTAGGAAAATATCCAACTTGCGTTCGTCCCTGTCCATCTCCAAAAGAGGCTGGACTTCTTTAAGTACTGGAATTTGAGGTCGTATCTTATCGTAAAGACTTTTTAAGGACATGTTGTCGTCCAAGGTATCTTCGTACATGTCGTAATGTAGTATCAGCCAAGATGTTCTAAACGGCCATTGCTCGGTAATGTTAATCCAAATAGCTAAATGATACCAGTTGAAATCAATTTGGAATGCTTTTAACAATCTCCCAGTAACATACACTACATTCATTAATCTTCTCATACTGCGAGGATTCACGTCGCTGAAGTAATCGTCGGTGAGAAGCATTTTATTAAGATCTTGTGCTCCACCCAGTCGATTCAGATTGCTACCGATACTACTCGCGATCGATTCACTCAATCGTAATTTTCTACTTCCTTTTCTACTTTGTGGTTTCAATTTTTCATTGCTGTTCATTATACCGGATTCCGTGCTGAGCCTTCTATTTGACACAGAATGATGCATCGTACTCGAGGCGGTATAAGTAACGCTCTCTTCGGCTTCCGTCCACGTGGTTTTTCTACTATGCTGAGCAGTCTGTTGAGCAACTTTTACCTTTCTTAAACCACTGTTTTGTAAATAAAATGGAAGATGTACCATATTGCGCAAATAATCGTGACCTCCAATATTGGACTCCGTAAATAATCTTCTACTATTGACTTCCACTGCCTTGGCAATAATATGTGGATCAATTGCTAATATGACAACAAACGGATAACCATTATCACTGAACAATGCTTGTATTGCATCTAAAACTAATAACACTTTGTCCTGTTCACAGCTGTCCAAACCGTCCACAATTATTACTAATCTGCTTTGTTGAGCCATGAAACTGTCTAAACACTTGACCATTTCGGTCATCAAATTAACTTCGCTTTTCAACGTTTGAATAAAGCCTTCACTTTTAAGAGTCTCCAACTTGGAAATGCTGCGTTGAAGATGACGCCTTTGCGAGAAAACAAGCGCTTGCAACGTTCGACTCCAGGTGTACAAGTTTGCTATTATACTAACGGCTAGTATTAAGGCAACGGTTATCATAATGATGTGCGCAGTAACTTTCTCTATTGTTGGCTCGCTACTAGAAATATCGATGAGGTAGACTGTAAGTACAGAGATACCAACGAGCAAGCTGCAAAAGCAAAATTCGAATATCACTATGTAGGGTAAACAACAAAGGTGTCTCCATTTCCACGTTGTGGTCGATTTATCAGGTTTTGGCCTGAACGCTCTGTACAATCTGGTGGACAATGAACCAAAGTCATTTTCGATAGAATCATAAAGAGATCCGACCATTTGTACTACTGCATTCTCTCCGGCAGCGGTTGTACCGACTCGAGTTTGATCGGTGAAATAAAACTTTATTGGTTGGACAGTAACACCGTCGTGAACTCTGCTGCCAGGAGGATGACAGAAAATCACTTGCAACAACAGCTTCAATGAATTCAACTTTGTAGTTAAAGCTACTGTAAAGTTGTACGGCCAATACCAATCGTACCTACAATTTAAACGTTTATTAAATTCTTGCAATATTATAGCAGATTCAATTGAATTCTTCCAATTGATATTCTCACCTTTTGTTGGCATACCATACAAGTATTAAAAAGATGTATGTAATGAGGATAAGACTTATGCCACAGGCAAGACCAACGACCCACGACTGCAAGGCAAGACCTATCGTAGTACCCACTAACAAGGATACGTGGGTTACTACTACAAACAACAAGAATGAAAACTGAAATACGGGGTCTATCCACTGCCGAGCAAAATTCTTCATTTCCTCTGAAAGAATAAATACACATAAGAAATTTAATTAACTGTAACAAGAAGCTTTCCAATTACCTCTTAATTTGTTTAACAGGAAGGATTTCCCAGAACCCCACTTTGCGTAAAGGCCAACAGTTATAGGCGTTGAGAGTGATGGTTCACTAAGAATGTCTGCTAATGCGCTACTGTATAAATCATAACCCAGCATATTCTCGTTATCTTCATTAGTATTTAGACGCCCTGAAATGTTTATGAAAATTAATATAATTTTGGTCCAATTACAAAGTATATCTAGTAAATGAAATCGTATCAGAATACTTACGTGCACCAAATATTTGTCCAAGAATGGTCTTTGGATGATTGATGTCGATATTATACGGAGTTTCACCTTGCCTGTTTGGACGGTAAAGAAGTTGACTGTTTTTTGGATTCCTCAGCAATATCTCGACGATAGCCTTCGATCGTGCGCGCATAGCTATATGAAGTACAGTGTCACCCTTTTTGTCGGTAGCTGAGACTTTAGCCTTTTTGTCTAGCAGTAATTGTACTATTTCCGCATTTCGCGACCTAACTGCCCGCAGTAACGGTGTATCACCGTCTTTAGTCGCGATCTCCAAATCTGGGTTGGCGTTCAATAACAGTTTTAATATCGGTATATTGCCTTTTTCAACTGCAATATAAGTTGCTGTTTTCTTATCCTAGAATATTTCAATAAAATTACGACGATTAACTGGATCTTAGATCCTTAAAGCAATCGTTTTTGTTATACAAAACTATTTGTCTTTATTACAAAACAATTTTCAGAATGATGAATTAAAGACTACTTGGCGAAACTTTCTACGGCGGTAGAAGTTTAACTACGATCAGATGATTACCTCAAGCGTAACCAACTTTATTTGTTTTACCTTGCCAGCAATGTCTACGTCGGCGTATTTCTTCAGAAGAGATTCAACTACTCCTCTATGACCTCCTTTCACGGCATGAATCAAATTTGTATCGCCAGCTCTATCTTGAATGTTCACGTAAGCACCAGCGTTTAACAGAGCATTCGCTATTTCGTGATGTCCTTCTCGACAAGCTATCGCCAGGGCCGTGCAACCATCTTTATCGAGTGCATTCACGTTTGGTTTGTGCTCTAAAAGTAGTAGAACTACATCCGCGTGATTCCCAAGAGTCGCCACCAACAGCGCCGTCCATGAATACTACAAAATTTTATTTATTTATCATTTGACAACACACAAACTTCAAACTCTTAGATTTCTTACCATGCCAGCAGTATCAACGTTAGCACCAGCTTTCAGTAAAGCGTCTACAATCTCCACGTGTCCTTTACGTGAGGCCCACACCAGAGCTGTAGTACCATACTAAAAAGGAAAAAAGTCTCATTCACCTTTGCCTCTTAAAGCGTTGTCTAAGGTACAAAGGTTGAATTACCTTGTCACCAACATTGACCTTAGCACCGTGAGCAATAAGATCTTTTACAATGTCAGGGTAACCCCTGCCTGCAGCCCACAATAACGAAGATATATGAAAATTTCCATGTGCATTGACGTCAGCTCCTCTTGCTAGCAACATCGTCACCGTCGGCGACCTCCCTTTGTATGTCGCCCACATAAGTGCCGTCCATCCACCCTAAAAATAGATTACATTTTTTATACATTTTATCAAGCATATGTTCATTGACTGCCATATTTAGCCTGTTGTAAGTTTCCATTGAACAAGATTATTTTGAATAAATTTTATGCATGGCTTACACATTTTGTCTGTAACATATGACATATTTTCTATAACATTTGCACTAGTCTTACAACATTTTGTCTATGACATATGACATATTGTCCCCAAAATTTGTACTAGTGTTACAACATTTTGTCTATGACATATGACATATTGCCCCCAAAATTTGCACTAGTGTTACAACATTTTGTCTGTGACATATGACATATTGTCTCCAACATTTGCACTAGTCTTACAACATTTTGTCTACAATATATGACATATTGTTTACAACATTTTGCTGATACAAGTACATTAATATTTCTGATAAGAGAATTTCTAATAAGGCTACTAGAAATGAAGCATCCAATCCTATGAATAATACAATAATGTGTTAACCTTTTATCTACCAGCCTTTTTAATCCTTGTGTTAATAAAGGTCAAAAAGTCTCGCACAGTGCCAAGCGTTCTGCTTAAAATGAACATGACACAAGGGTAAAAATATTCAGAGAATGGATGCAGAAAGCAATTTTGAAACTGAGGTGCAATAAATTCTTTGACATCAAAGTGATATTGGTATCTTGGTATTCCTTGGTATTCTTGACTGCTGATGTTCTGACCTAGTGATGTAGAAATCTTGTCCAAGGATTGGCAAAGGTTCTCCAGAACTAAAAATATTACCATGTCTCTGTGTTCCAAATCGGCCCCATGCTCGAGCAACTCGAGGCAAACGTCGGTGTGACCTTCCTTGGCGGCGCAAAGCAATGCTGTCCAGTTGTCCTGAAAATTCCAAGGAGATAGTTAAAAAGACATCAGTTTTTAAATGTAGTATGGTATATGTCAAGTTTGAAATTTATACTAACCCCATCTTCTGCGTTAACATCTGCTCCATGATTAATAAGTTCCCGCACAAAGTGGATCTTCCCCTTAGTCGCTGCAAGGATGAGGGCTGTGCTACCATTCTGTCAAAAATAATTCGATCAACCAAAAGATCAATGTGATCATAGACTCAACCCATTCGACGCACCAGGTGCGTCACGATAAAAGTGTATCTAAAACATTTATTCCTTCACTTTCAAGACTTAGTATCTTAATGTAGAAGCTTCTAATGTACAAGCCTTTAATGTAAAAGCTTCGAATGGGTTAAATAGCCATGATTTACATATTTTTCTTTAAACAATACAGCATGTTACAATGTAAAATCATGAAAGACAAAAGTGTCACAAAGTAGCACTTGTGATACATCGATTTAAAGCTCGAAGTCTCAGGAAAATGACTGTGTAAGTGTCTTATCAATAATTTCAATACAACATGGCTGATCAATGCGGCAAAGCAAACAATGACCGACTCGGAGACAAAGAAAGTCTAGCACCATTTCATGACATAAAAGCATCACAAAATGGTGGTTGTCGTACATCTATTTGGAGGATGAGGTCTCAGAAGATGACTGTGTCTTAAGATAGTTATCAATGACTGAAAAGTGAATAACTATTCAAAGTTACTAATTGGCAATATCAAACTGTAAATCAGTTGTGTACCACACTTTGTCAAATTTCCAAATAAAAATTATTTCAGTGAAGTTTGAAGAAGTGGTAGTTGTACTAAGCATTGTGACATACTGCATGAAAGACATACTGTATAAATTGTGATATGTTACCTCGTCTCGATCATCGATCTGTACTCGTTTGTTCTCGAGGAAGTTTTGCAGACCAGCAAGATTATCATCCGTGATATAGCTGGCGAGAGATCGGTAGCAGAGCGATACCATCGAGTCAGTCCGATGCAAGGTCTGCGAAAAAGAAAACGGAAAAATGTTCTTTTCTGCTGGTTAAGCCGGCGAGCGACTGTCAACTGAATCGTGTCACGCTGGTCGATCGACGGGCTGCCGAATTAATTTGCTGCGTAAGTACTGGTATCATTCGGTTAAATGTAATCTTAATCCCATGCGAATCGTTCAAACTCTCGTATCGTTCAGAAATTCGCGTTTTAATTGTTACGTTCAAACAATTTAACACGCGTTCACACGTTAATCTTCCGATCTGCGAATCGGGTTAATTAGCAGTTTATTTTCAAGGTTTCCATTAATGAATAGCGGAATTTCTTGGTACGATGATTAATAATCGCTGACCGTGACATTGTTAGAGCGCTCTTGCATAGAATTTTAATGTTTAATGACGTTGAAGCGTGAAACTCTGAATGCATCCTTGCGATCCAAACAAAATAAAAGGAACGTTGTATAAAAATATCTGAGAAGCTTGAGAAAAATTTATGAAGACTGTGAGTCAGTTGTTGTCTCGAACATCTAAAATTCTTGTTGAACGGATCGAAATTTATTTGCGCGAGATAAGGTTTGGGGTTTCGATAAGAGATATTATGGTCCTCTGACGTTATTTATATCGACAAATAAATAATAAATAAATTGCAACGTGCATCGTTTGATTTCTGACGAAGCTATAGGCTCGTCTAAAATCAATAGACCTCCTCTCAAGGCTATTAAGGAACAAACCAGCTTGAAACTGTTGCAGAGGCTTTCGCGTTTAAGCCGTGCCCTATATTCTGACAACAATATCGGTGCGTCACTCTTTGATAAAGCTAATTGCAATATTAATGGAACACCGAGACCTTTGAATGACAGAAACTTCATTTTCAGCAAGTTCCATGTGGATCCATGTTATTTTAATTAACTGGAAAATGTACTTTTGCATCTTCATTATATTTGTAATTAGAGTTTCAATTTGCAGAACAAAAGTGAATAAAATGGAATTAAGACACTCGCGTCTCAAATATAGTAGTTATATTTTTGGTAGAGATAAAAATACAAGCTTGAGTTTTTGTAAAATTGGGCGGTGTTTCACCTTGAAGGTGATTAGACCGTGGCAGTCATCGTGTTAATTAAAAGCAACATGTATGTTGATTCGGTGGATGTACATTCGAGTGCAATATTGGTTTTTTTTGGGTAAGAATTTTGGGGGAAGGAACTACCTGCCTTGGGGAGAATCTAGGGAAGCTAGAGAAAGCTGGAGAATTTTGGGGAGAGCTTAGGAGGTCTCAGAGTGAATTTGGGGAGAGCCTAGATAAATCTGGAGGAGACTCTCAGGAGAACCTAGATTAATCTTGAGGAGGATCTGGAGAGAACCGAGATGAATCTTGATGAGAATTTGGGGGGAGCTTAGGGAGATTCCAAGGAGAATCTGGGGGAAGCATAAATCAATCTTGATGAGAATTTGGGGAGAGCTTAGGGAGATCTCAGAGTGAATTTGGGGAGAGCTTAGATCAAACTTGAGGAGTATTTGGGGAGAGCTTAGGGAGATCTCAGAGTGAATTTGGGGAGAGCCTAGATCAGTCTTGAGGAGGATCTGGGGAGAACCTAGACAAATCTTGAGGTGGATCTCTGGAGAACCTAGAACCTTGAGGAGGATTTGGGAAGAGCTTAGATCTCATGGAAAATGTAGGGAAACAAATACCTCAGGAAAAATCTAAAAAATCCAAAGGAAACTTAAGGACTATATGCAAAAGCCTTGATCTCAGGAAAAACTATAAACCCTAAAATCTTCACTAAAAAGAATTTAAAAAGAACATAAATTAGTAAAATCTACCCAAAACCCACTTATCCTCATAAACCCCAAGAAGGCTCTTAAAATCATTTCCCCAAAGACCTCAAGTTCTCAAGGTTCTCCCCCCGTCCAAATTGCACTCAATGTTTCTCCACCAAAATGTTAATACCAATCCACAATTCCAGCATTGCTTCCAAAAGAAAGAATAAACAACAGCTCACACCAAACAAAATCACTCGAGTCCTGAGTCCAGACTAACCGGCTGCGACTGTCTGCGAATTCCGAAGTTGAACTTGCGGCCAGATTCACCATCGGTGGCTGGCGCAGTAAAGGTGATCGTGGGTACGTGAAAATGCGGGAACACGTGATGATGATGATGATGATGATGGTGATGATAATAGGAATGATGATTGTTAAATCTGTCCTCCTCCCAGCCGTTAGGTTGCGGTATATGAAGTCGAAGGAAGGGTAACTTAATCCTTCGTCCATTCGTGCCGCTCGTTCCAGGTTCTTCGTTCTTTGGTGATTCGTTTTCACCAGGTAGCAGACAGTTCGGTATACCTGGGTACGCGCTGACGAGACTCGGCGCTAGACTCGAGCAGATGGCGGCGTTCGCTATGCTGGATCTCCTGATGGGATTCACACCGGTTCCCGAAATTATTGTTTCATACGTAGGAGTCGGAGGCTGGTTCTTTCCAACCAGAGGCAGAGTCTGTCTTCTGGGTGTCTTCTGATCTTCCCGAGAATCGTCTTCGTCCTTCAGACACGAGGAGCTTCCGGTCAAATTAGAGGACTTCGAAAATGTGGACATGATCTTGTAACGCCTTCGCAGCAGCAGTGGAGATGCAGCTGGAGGATTCACGTTCGGCTGAGCCAATACAATGTTCTCTTGTATCTCCGTACTTATCACGGTTGGGTTTGTCTCTCCGGAAAGTTCTGCAATTTCGGGCTCGTAAATTGCAGCCGCTTCCAGAGAATAGTCCGGATTTGCAGAGGGAAGGAAACTCTGGTCCTTGATGGACTTTCTGCTTTCCATCGAGTATCTTCTGGAATACAGAATCTCGAATCTCTCTGTATCCATCCTCTGCGCGTTTTCAACCGGCACGGAATCAAAGTCGCTCGGTCTGGGAACCACATTTTCGGGGTCGGAGGCTTCTCTGGAATCGCTGGAGGCCTTAGACTCGTGACTCTGCGTTCTCCGCACGCGTTCACCGCATTTTTCGTATTCGATATCCACGCCTTGTGGGTCTTCGACACTTTTACCATCTTCGATCGCATTTTCTTGGTTTAATACTAATCCAGAATCGGCCTCGATAGTTATGGAGATCCTCCTGTCGCTGTCTCTGGATGAATTTTCTTCTTCCTTTTCGTCGTCCTCCTCGATACTGATGCGAAAATGATGCGTCGTGATCTTGAAACGATCATCTTTGGCCTTCCGCATGGCATTCTTTCCTCAACGAGCTCACGATTCGAAAAGGAATCTTTGCTAGATAAATAGCGAAGAGCAATTTATGAGAACTGCAGCAATTGAATGTGCTTCCCCATCTTTGGTTTTTTATCGTTATTTAAACATTCGTTCTCGAATGCGGAGTGATCGTAAATGACGGAGAACGTGAAGTGGGAAACTTGTTGAACTACAGAATGAGCGATTAACAATATCTGTATTTAAACACTATGACAATTTTCTAACTCAGTCCAACTTTCGATGAAATAATCTGAAGTGTTACAAACTTCAGTGAAGTTTATTATTCATTAAAAATAATTAAAAATGACCTACTAAAGAATGATCGATTAACGATATGTCTACTTAAACACTATGACAATTTTGTAAGTCAGACAGCAGTCCAACTTTCGATGAAATAATCTCAAGTATTACAAACTTGATTGAAGTTTATTATTCATTAAAAATAATTTATAATGACCTAGCAAAGAATGATCGATTAAAAATGTGTCTATTTAAAAATTATAACAGTTTTCTAACTCTTGAGACAATACTTCTTTGTCCAACTTTCGATGAAATAATCTCAAGTATTACAAACTTGATTGAAGTTTATTATTCATTAAAAATAATTTATAATAACCTAGCAAAGAAAGATCAATTAACAAAATGTCTACTTGAACACTATGACAATTTTCTAACTCAGACAATAATTTAATTTTTGGTGAAATAATCTCAAGTTTTACAAACTTCATTGAAGTTTATTATTTATTAAAAATAATTTAGAATAATCATATTCGTTCTACATAAGAGGAAGAAATGTATTCTAAAACATGCAGTCTTGCACCAAACAGGAAATCAAATAAATACTAAATATCTAAATTAACTCATTTGTCTACTCTGCATTAAAAAGCAATCTCACTTAATCAAATTCCAAACTACAGTTAAATAAAAATCTAATCTCCGACGTGTTAATAAAAGATAAATGCACAGGAAACTGTTTACTGTCCGATAAGAGAAAAGCTACTAACACTCCGATGCTGAAAATGGAAAATAAAATTAATGGAAGTTCAAAAAACTGTAGAAGCAAAAGATCCAAGATGACAATCGCGATTTCGTATCAATATACCGTAAAGTGAGACGGACCCTGGACAAAGCGGTGAGTCTGAGCATTTTTTCCAAATTTCTCGTGGTCATCGCTTCTTCTCTGCTCCAAACACCGTTTCCGGAAGCTACGTTCCGGATTTCCTCGCAAACCGAATACGCGTACGCGGTTCACTCGAAACGCGTGCGATCCGCGTCGTCAGCAGATCGCTTAAGAACATCGCGTAGAACATCGTGCGACATTTATATATCCGACCTGGGATCTTTAAAGTCGTGTACACAGTTCAGCGGAATCGCGGGTAACAATCGTACGCTTTCAACGAACTCGCGATCGCGAATTTCTTCGGCGGTACATAATTTTATTTTCTTTTTTCAAGTTTCGCGCGCTCTCGTACGCGAGTGGTCACAAAATTCTGGTTCTTTTCAAGCTTGGAATTCTTGAAATTCTTATACTATCTAGTATAGGTATTTTCTAATAATTTAAATTTAATTCTAGTCTCAGCTCTTTGTTTAAATTTCGCGCGCAAGTTTCGTACTGATACTAAATTTTCAAATTGTTACAAATTTAATTCCCGACCTTTTTACGGTTCGATTAAACTTCACGCACTATATATATTAAACTTTCAAACAATTTAAAATTAATTTTGACTTCTACCTCGTTTTCGTTTTTCAAATCTCGCGCGCTGTTAAAACTAAATTTTCAAATGGTTTTCAATTTAATTCCCGACCTTTTTACGGTTCATTTAAACTTTACGCACTATATATATTAAACTTTCAAGCAATTTAAAATTAATTTTGACTTCTACCTCGTTTTTATTTTTCAAATCCTACGCGCTATTACCTGCACTCCCGAACGCGCGAAAATTTAAAACGATCTCAAAGCACGTATCGTTAATTCATAAATTTTTATATTATTTTTTAATACTGATTTAAATGAAAAATGTGGTGATCTAATTTCAATTTGAGCACAGTTCCATAGGTCTCGTGATTGACCTGATTATGCAAGGATCGATTCCCTTGAGAGAAACGATATAAACATCATCAATTTGGAGCCAGGAATGTATCACGATCACGAAGATGACTAGTGACGTAAGAAGCAGCGAATTGATTTACCCGTAAAAACTGACCGAGCTTATATCGTAAAATTTATTCCATTACGTTCGTACAGAGCAAACATAAGATAATTCGCTGATAACGATTTCTGACTAATGTACGCAAACACTAATTTCACTGTTTTAGTGAACGCTGGCAATTAAGCGTTTTGAAGATAATCAATTTTCAAGAACGAAGTCAAGTACATGTCTTTGGTAATTAATAAAAATATTACTGAAGAATTAACAAGTTTATTTGCATACAGAATTGTAGTAAATAGTTTGATATCTAATTAATCGGAACGTCTTTCGTTCAGATGTCTTATGAACGCCATTTAAAATCGAGCAATTAACGCGTCGTGTAACGCGATACCGACGTAACAGGAACCGTTTAAAAAGTTCTACAGAACAATATTTAGACACAGAACGGTAGGTGTGCTCGGTTAGAAAAATATTTTCCTAGAGTTAGACGAGAAGCATCGCGCGTCCTTGCGCTACTCGCGGCACTTGGGCCAATTAAAGCCCACAACCGACTAATCAATTGTGTACGAACCGCATGTCGTTTACTGGGGATCATAAAAACGAATAGCACTGCTGGGAAAACAAGCTCCGATAATTCTAACCCTTCCTCCGTACAGTGCCAACGCTGTTCAACCCAACGAAAAAAATCAAAGAAAAAAAGAATCCACTATCAAAGTAAATCATATACAATACGCATCGCTAAATTTATAAAGAAGCATCACCAATTTTCCTCTTGTAACGATGCGCATTTCCGAGTAACAAAGAAAACGTTGTCAGGAAATATATCAGTCGATCATAAATCTTCTTAATAGATGGCTCGAGCGTATCGTAATAAATTGCACGGAAACGTTTTGTGTAATCAAGATGCGATAAATACACTGTAGCGATGCAAAACAAATTGCAAAATGTGCAAACCTAACCGGAAGTTTAATGCGCGCCTTAAATCAACTCCCGGTATAAATATAATTGATCCTCGCTGCGTTGCTTTTTGAAACAATGACGTTCGATACGACATAATATAATTCTTTATCTATTTTAATCCGTATTGATCCCGCAGATTACTCCCATAGGGGACTTGAGGTTTTACATTGATTAAAGATGAAACCGGTATACCATAATTGCTAATTAGAGATTAACGATCAAATTGTAGTTGGGATAATAACATGGTTAGATTAAGGGAAACATGTGTTATTGTGCATGTACACTTGGGGTTTATAAATTCCTAGATCTGATTTCTAGATCCACATATCCCTAGGTCCCTACACTCCTAGATCGTAATATCACTAGATCCCAATTTTCCTTAGATTTCAAATTTCCGTAGATCCCAATTTCCCTAAATTCCAAATTTCCCTAGATTCCAATTTCCCTAAATTCCAAATTTTCCTAGATCCTAATTTCCCTAAATTCCAAATTTCCCTAGATCCCAATTTCCCTAAATTCCAAATTTCCTTAGATCCCAATTTCCCTAAATTCCAAATTTCCCTAAATTCCAAATTTCCCTAGATTCCAATCTCCCTAAATTCCAAATTTCCCTAGATCCTAATTTCCCTAAATTCCAAATTTCCCTAGACCCCAAATTTCCCTAAAGTCCGAATTTCCTTAGATCCCAATTTCCCTAAATTCCAAATTTCCCTAGATTCCAATCTCCCTAAATTCCAAATTTCCTTAGATCCCAATTTCCCTAAATTCCAAATTTCCTTAGATCCCAATTTCCCTAAATTATCCCTAAAGTCCGAATTTCCCTATATCCCAATTTCCCTAAATTCCAAATTTCCCTAGATCCCAATTTCCCTAAATTCCAAATTTCCCTAGACCCCAAATTTCCCTATAGCCCGAATTTCCCTAGATCCCAAATTTCCCTCGACCCCAAATTTCCCTAGATCCCACATTTTTCTAAATTCCAAATTTTTCTAGATTTCGAATTTCCCTAGACCCTAAATTTCCCTAAATTCCAAATTTCCCTAGATCTCAAATTTCTCTAAATTCCAAATTTCCCTCGACTCCAAATTTCCCTAAATTCCAAATTTCCCTAGATCCCACATTTTTCTAAATTCCAAATTTTTCTAGATTTCGAATTTCCTTAGACCCCAAAATTTCCAAAGATCCCAAATTTCCCTAAATCTCAATATCTCTAGGTTCCTATATCCCTAAATTTCAACACACACAGCACAACAGAAAAAGAATAAGATGTGGTAAAAAATGCTGATACATTTTAGTTTGGTGTTTTGAAATATAGTTGGTCCACATAGTTCCAAAGGTATCAGACTAGTTAACATTGCTCTGATTCAATTTGCTTTAGACTTATAAAGAATTTAAGGACTTGTAAATTTGTCGTGTAATTAGGAGTATTAAATCTGTCAGGCAGTAAAACGTACGGTTCAAGCTGCCCACTGTAATCCGTTCGATGTACGAAAACACTGTTGCGCCCCTCATTTGTCTTTCGAAACACGTGGAAAAATTTTGGCACAATTTCGCAGGCAAACGATCAAGTAGTAAAGTGCTTTATCTCGAGATCCACCTGTAGGTTCTATCGGCATTACGAAACTTACATATGTTAACATACTCGAGATATCGATCGGAAAATATGCTAAATTTTGTATACAATGTTGGAGAAAAAACAATGGTTCGTGACATGTTTCGAATTCGAGGGACTACGTGTTTTGTATAGATCGAGTTATGATCGGTTTTTTGGCGTTGCACGTGATTGTGCAATTGGAAACTGGATAATTGATGCGGGTGGTTTTTTTTAGTAATCCATGAATAATTTTACCGTTTCTTTTTCTGTACCTGCTTACTTTTGTTCCAGATCGACTGTAACACCTGTTGACACGAGGAAAAGGATCCGTAGTGAGCCCGACTCAATCCCTGCGGGATCGAAGACAATGATCCTACATCTCGTTCAGAATTCAGTAAACTACTCCTCTCATTCGAGGATTCCATGGAAACCGTGTCTATATGCGAAAATACTCTCATTATCTGGTTACACTATATGGCGCTAAAATCACTATTAACAACACTGTATTCATTCCATGTCACCGATAATTTTTATCATATTTTCTTTCTTCCAAATTTGCCACAGAAACAGATGCCTTTCGTTCGTTTAATGACTCTTTATTTGTAACATGAAATATTAATAACACGACACAGACAAAATGAGACTTGACAAATGAAAGACATCTCGCGCCAGATGCGTCAAGTTTGAAAGATTTTCTGAATGGAAGTGAATTTTACCCAAAATGTTAAAAGAAATTTTTAGCTTGAGTTTCATATTTAACCCTGAACTACCATGGCTGTGTTAGTTATTTTGAAATTGCGAATGTTCAAAATAACTATCATCAAAATTAATAGTATCAGTTTATTAATATACATATAATATACTGTACTTTATTTTAATGTAATCAGAACAGCTAAGTAAAGCTGTTTTATTATTTCTAGCTACGTCAGTGGAGCCCGAATTAAACAGTAAACACATTATAACCATTATCCACTTTCGAACGCAGAAAATATTTAACGAGAAAAGAGCTAAATCTGCCTGTGCCATGGCACTTAAAGGTTAATGTCCTTTGCAAGCTTTCTGTCAATTGTGAAGACTATTTATTTCGCCCGCGGTATTCGTATGCCAAAAACTGTATTCACAGGTACACAAAAGCATCGTGCAAAGAATAACTGGCGCGTTCACAAGTTTAACCACGATGAACACAATATGAACAGAATCGAAGCGAAATACTTTTCCACGCCAACACCGAACACGAATTAACAAGGCACTCCTCTCCGTTGCAAGAACCGTTTGTTTATTAGCATTCCAAATGAAATCTTGGAGCTAATTAAAAGCAAGGGCAGTCGCATACACGATAATTTTCCGTATTTACCGAGTTTTATCTGGGTCTCGGTAATTTCACCCGATTCCAGATGATCTTATCGTGAAATTCTAGCGGATGTGTATGTAAATATGTGTCCTGAAGCAACGACACCGTGGAAACTGTGTGAGCGAACGACGATTGCCCTCGTTATAATCTGAAGAAAACGTTCGAGAAACAAACAGAAAGACCAGAAAGCACAGATAGTGTGTCTATTTTCTATCTGGGAGCAACTGCGTAATGAACTTCACCGATCTGGATATTATCATTCATATATACCGAACTCTAGTTATATTGCCACTTTCTGCAAATACATTTTATAGAGGTAATGGCAAGACGTACTGAACGATAACCATTAAATTGCCACGCGTTATATCGCCGAGCGTTGATTTTTCACGCGTTGAATTACCTCGCGTTATATCGTCACGCGTTGAATTACCTCGCGTTATATTGCCACGCGTTGGATTTCCATGCGTTAAATTTCCTCGCGTTATATCGCCACACGTTGGATTTCCACGCGTTGAATTACCTCGCGTTATATTGTCAGGCGTT